CGACCTTGCCTTTGTTAATTGTGGAGAATCGGATTAGGGAGTGAAGTGAGGAGAATTTAGTGAATTGACTGTTGAACATAGAAATAGGGCGAGGGATTAGTTGATTAGTGTAGCATGAATGTTGAATGTGATTTGTATGAGCTTAATTGAGCCTTGGTGGGCATATTTTATGACAAATTGCTTTCAAATTATGAATGAATGAATGTGGAATTTTTATGTTTGAGTGGTGGATGGTAGCCACCGTGGCACTGTTTGGGTTAGAGTTTTGTGTGGATAAACCGTGAAACACCTAGAACCATGCTTTGGTGTGCTTGAGCTTAATTGTTTCAAATGGCATGGAACCGTAGTGGGAACATAGGTGGGGGGGTTCTTTTTCCTCCCAATGAGTTGAGATTGACAATTGTTTCCACGTTTGGTGCATGTTTGACTGTTTTGCAGGATGATTAATATGGATTATGAGTACATCCGATACTTGGTGAACCACGAACGGTTAGTGGCCAAGTTCGCTTACCAGATGAACAGTAAGGTGGGGCCTCACTGGATGATTGACCTAGACATGTTCAGGTGTAGAGTAGCGATGTCGGGGGTTGTTGCCACCTCTAGTGGCGCCAGCTGTTGATGGTGGATGAGCTCACCTACCGAGAGCTCTGCGTGGAGTTCTACTCCACCTTCTCCCACGTGGTCCCGACAAGTAAGCGATGACGGAGTGGCAGTACACCGTCGAATTCTATTATCAGGCAACATTCCAGGCCCTCAGGCGCCCCGAGCACCAGCATGAAGAGTTCGAGGGTGGCCACACCAATGCGGTGATGCTGCGGACCCCATGGAGGATTCTGCATACCCTGTTCACCAGGTCTGTCATCACCAGTCTGCGAGCGGGCCACCTAATCACTAATAGAGGGCTGATTGCCCTCCATTCTATGAGGATTCCCGCCGAGCCACTCCATCTGGGAGCTATGGTTGCTACCACTTTCTCCCGTTGTCTGGGGTGGAACGGGGTGGACACCATGCATTTGGGGAGCATCATCACCATATTGGCCGACACTTCGAGGTGGACCTGACGGGGTGCTCCATCATTGGTCTGACCGAGCCATTCCCAGTAGAGATCCTTTACACCATGAAGTTGGTGCTTCATGGAGAGAGGGATCGAGTACATTGACGGGCTTTGACTATCAGCGACCCTAAGACCGAGAGTCGACCCTGCTCCAGTGGAGCCCGATCTAAAGGTCCCTCCTCCAGAGCAGCCACCTACTCGAGCTCCCGGCCGTCGCCGGCGTCCTCCACCCATACCACCACCAGTAGCATCATCATCAAGAGCCGGTCCTTCCACCTCCAGGGTGCACCTCGTGGAGAGGATGGATCGCCTTGAGACCCACGTAGTGGGAGTCACTTCCCGGCTCGACCGGCACACCGACCTACTAGAGCGGATAGCTCGTCGCCAGGGCCTTCTCCCAATGATGAGGCAGGACCTTCTACCCGTGATGAGGTAGAAGACGAGTGAGACATGTGGCATAGCTGATTTTCTTTTATTGTGTGTGTGTGTGTGTGTGTGTGTGTGTGTGTGTGTGTGTGTGTGTGTGTGTGTGTGTGTGTGTGTGTGTGTGTGTGTGTGTGTGTGTGTGTGTGTGTGTGTGTGTGTGTTGTCCTCTCCTTGAAGCACCAATCTCCTACCCCGGAAAAAAAATTCCAACTTTCAATCACCAAACCATGCGGTAACATCTTTCTACCCCTATCTTACGCCAATGAGGGCAATGTCGAGCTTAAGTGTGGGGGGTAGTTTATTATTATGCTTGTGTGAGTGTGATTGGATGCTTGGAGCCTTTGTATGCCCAAATTTGAAATTTTTGAGGGCTACAAGCAATGCTTACACGATCAAAGTGGCCGGTTTGTTGGAGAATCTCTTGTTTATTGGCTTTACCTTGAATTGTTGCATGTGATCGAGTGTGTCCTATGATGATGAATGAGAGAAGAATTAGGATAGTGCAAAGGTTTAGTTCTCACTAGTGCTAAAATGAATGGATGTCTTGACTCAATTACTTGTTGATTACAATTGCCATGCATTGTGTTTTGTGAATTGGAATAGATGGTTGGGTGACTAGGTAGGCATGTGAGTTTTGAGTCGATCGTTTTCTTCTTGTGTGCTTAGATCCCTCTTACCATGGTGAGTAACATCACAGTTGTCACTAGTGAGTATGATGGAGGCTGATTGTCCAGAAATGTTCTATCCCCTAGTCAAACCCTTTGAGCCTTGTGCCCCCCATCCTTTCTTCGTGTCTATACGTGAGTCGTCCTTGTGTTCAGGAGCTCGTGCTTAGGAGCTCCATTGACGTTCTACATAGGAGGATTCGGTGCGGTTCTTGCTAGGAATGAAAGAGAAAAGAGTAGTGTTGGAGTAAGTTCTAACAAGAGAGCATTGGTTGTTAAATGTAATGTGTCAAGTGTTTTACTCTCTAATACCCCCCTCAAAAGAAAATAAAAGAAAAGAAAAGAAAAGTAGAAAGAAAAAATCGAACAAGAGGTTATAAATCGGGCTAGATAAAGTAGAGAGTGCCACAAAAATCAAAGTGTATGCTCTAGGAGAGGTTTCTTTGCACTCAAGCCATTGAAACACCTACCTTGTTGTTGAAATCCTTCACTACTATGTTTGAAATGTGGTAGCAAGAATAGACCGAGGAAGTGTGCTTGAATGTAGTTCGTGATGGGTGATAGTTTGGAAAAGAGAAATAAGGTTTTTGACTGATGCTAGTGGCCGTTGTGTGTAGGGATGGTTCTTAGTTGAAGCCATAGAACCTTTCAGTTTTAAGGTGAAGATGTAGGACCTCATGTTGTGTTTTCCACCACCCAAAAAGTCTTTTCCCCATGTCCAAGACAATTGCCAGTCATTTGAACGTGTCTAAGACCTCCGGACAAGCTAGTGATGATAACCATCCCGTGAACTCTAGCATTTAGAGGTTGTCTACATGGTGAAGAGACGTTAGGGCCGAGAGTTGATGATTGTGCACATTTTTTTGAACCAAATGATCCCGACCCCACTGGTAAAGAGAGTGAGTGATTCATTCTTGCTTTGCATGTCATATCATACCCCGGAGGACCTTTGTTTCCCATTAGTTTATTCCTTGGACTTGAATATTATGCATGGTTAGTTGTGGTTGATGAGTGATCTTGTTGAGACTTGCATTGATTCATGAACAAGGTGAGAACTTTTTGTTTGCCCATTTTTTGTGGTCTCGAATGTCGTTTGTGGTTGATGTCGGTGTCGCTTGCAAAAGTCCATGTGTTAATTGCCAATAGACATTGAGATTCCCCACTTTGTGCACTTTGAGTTGTCCCCAAGGTCTTTTATTAGATTGAGATATTACCTTGTGTGAAATGGTTTGCTTGGGGACAAGCAAACGTCTAAGTGTGGGGGAGTGATTCGGGCCTAAATGTACACTCTTTTTCTCTTTGACTTTTGTTGCATTTGAGCTCCATAAAGGGTGGTTTTATGCTAGGTTTGCTGTGTTTCAATGTGTTTCAGAGTCTAACAGGTGGAACCAACCCCAGAGTCGAAAGTTGGAAGAAATGGCGCTAGGACTGGGCAAAGAGGAGGAAACAGTCGTTGTTCACGGTCTAAGCTGTGAGTTCACGCTTGCCAGGACCGTAAATGGAGCCACGAACCACGAACTAAAAGGCGTCCAGAGAGGTTTCGGAAGTTACTGACGCCGAGTCAGTTCACGATCGTAAGACCGTGAACTGAAGCCATGGACCGCAAACTCAACAAGTGAAAGCGGTGCGTATTGGTTGTGTTCATGGTCCGGGCCAGATGTTCACGACTGTGAACTGGGACCACGAACTAGGCTCGGTTAGTGTATAAAAGGAGAGTTGAAAGGAAGAAGAAAGGGGAGTCCAAGGTAAGAGAAACTTTCTTCTTGAAATTCTAGATAGAGAAAGTCATGAATCAAGAGGGAGAAGAGGCTAGGGTTTGCTCCACTTCAAGAATTGGGAAGTTCCTCTTCAAGCGAGGATCTCTACAAGCACAAGGAAAGATTGAGGCATCGTAATGATGTTTTTTTTTTCTTTTTTCTTTTGTGTTCTTCCTTCTTTTACCATTGAGTAGTCTCCTATTCACTTGGATGTTGTAGAACTCTAACTTCTACCATGTAGTTGATTGTGTGGATTGATTGATTGTGTGTGGGTGATGTTTAATTTAAAGTTTTGAGGCATTGTTCATGATGATTGTGCATTGTGTGTGCTTGGCAATCTATTGTGCTACCCTAACCTAGTTTAGGGAGAAGCCCCCTTTCCTTAAGAGGCTCAAATTGAGCTGGGTTTTCTTAGGCATTCCATGTCTCCTAACTAGGTCAATGTAAGACAAACCTCTAAATGCAGGGTAGACATCTAGGTTAATTGTGATTAAACCGTCCAACCCCCGGTTTGAGGGAGAAGGTAAGTCAATCTTCTTTTGCTTGGGCCAAGAGGGCTACTTTCGTCGCCTTGGCCTAGCGATTGAGAGTGTGGTTTCCAACCACTGTTGCTCCTCCTACGGTTCGCAATCGCCTTGTCACACACCAATTCATTCGATCCCACAGTTCATGATAGTTAATTAGGGGGAAACAACTTCCGAGTGAAGCTTCTCACCAAGAGTTTCAACCCTTTTACTTTTCAAGCCTTGCACTTTCAATCGTAGATTGTAGAGATTCTTTCAAACTTCATTCCGCTAGATAATGTTTCAAACAATTGAAGTAGGGGTGCATGGACCAACCCAGGTTGATATTTAAACATACTTGCCCTATATTGCACCCATTTAAGGTTTATACTTGGACTTTATGTGGCATTTAATTGTGATATTCGAAGCGAGTCAGGACCGGATCGGTGCCAGTTTTGTAAAATGAAACAATTACCCAAATTGTCTCGTTTTTCAATTTATCCATCGACCCTAAACAAAAATAAATGACGCCCAACAACGTACAATGTAAAATTCATACAAATGCTCATCGCAGCAGCAAATATTTCTTTCGAATATGCTTTATTGGTTCAGAAATCTGAAAAATGAATGGGTCGTTTGGATGGATCAATTAAAAAACGAGACAATTTGACTAATTGTCACATTTTACAAAACAAGTCAATTCGAATTGTCTGACCCCACCCCAAACAATTGTAATTGCCTCAAAATGAGTCAATTTGAAATTCAACAAGCGGAACTGCTTCATCTTAATTTTGTGCTGCCAAACAGATCAATTTAGCCAAGTTGACTCAACATGAGACAATCTGGCCACATTAATCCGTTAAAATTCCTCATCCAAACGACCCGAATATTACAAATACGTATGCCTGAACTACTACCCCCAAAGAAAAACGAAAAGGCTACAGTATGCCTTGCAAGCAGTTTCATCATTATCTACTTGATAACTCTTTCTACTGTTCCCATCACAGGGCATAACAAATTTACATATCCTCTGCGATCTCCAACATCAAGAGTCTAGATTACTAGTTCTTGAAATTCTGCGGTAATACAGAAACAAGTTAGTCGCTTATGTAATCAACAAACCAACAAGAGCAACGAAAAACCAGTACAAGCAAATCATACATCGGTCACATTTCTCATACGTTCAGCAAGTTCTTGTTTAGTCTTCCCGGCTGAAATATACACATCCACAATATAAGACCAAATCCGAAAGAAAAGTAATCCAAGACGGCATGGGATAAAATGCAAAGGAGGAGACATACCAAGACTTGAAACATCCTCCAACCTCTTTGATGTCCTCACAGCAAACCTCTGAAATGAAGGACTGCAACCACCCAAAACAAAAGACAATACATCTATACTTTAGTAAGGACTTCCAAAAGAGCTTGGAAACAGGCCCTGGTAACTGTCTGATGGCACAAAACGTACCAATAAATCCAGACTCAACAATACTAATATTCTGACTATGCAAAACTGGAAACCATAAGTAATGATGTACCATGTCTACTAAATCAATCACATATGAGGCCTCAGATTTGATGATTTCAATTGAGCAGTCATTTCTGCTATCTCAAAGTCAAATTGTCATCACAGGCGACAAGGATAAAAGGAACGGCAAATAATTGATAAACCATTAATGAACCTATGGCAAAAACTATTTCAAACCTTCAGAGCTGTAGTGATAACATTGCAGTGCAACTCCAAAAGGTTAGGTTCGAGCCATTTCTAGGAGCAAACTGCTAGGAATCATATCATTATATCGACAGCCTAATAGTGAAGGGTCTAATGATCATGTCATTAAACTTCCACAACTGAAAGAGGAACAATATTGAGATGCTTATGTTCTCTGAAACTTCCAAGTTCATAGTGCACGTATATTATGACACACCAGGAAATAGAGATTACAGGAAGCTGACAGACACTTTGGCTTCAAATGAACGAACCAAAGAGGAACGAAAGAACAGTGCTTTGCAACCGGAGAGCAACCCAAACAGCAAGAAGTGACAAAAGACGGTGTGCAGGGCTAACGGCAGAGATCAAGGCACAAGGAACCGAAACCCTAATCGAAGAGGATGATTGTTCAGGCAAGAATTATACCTGTTGGCTAAACTGTTGACGATAAGCTCATTCACCACATAAGAAAGCACCCTGTGCATGAAATTTCCCCCCGCCATTGTTCTTGGATACCGGAAACAAGTCCGAATAGAATCGAGACAAAACGGGAGTAAGACTAAACGGACACCATAAGACTCGCTACGACGAACACCTAGACAATCCAATTTCAGTAATCGCTAGATTCTATCCATTAGTAGAATTCCACAATATAGAAAAAGCAAAGAGAAGGGATTCAAGATTGACAGGTAGAAATCTTCAGAATTCAGATCGATCTACCTCAAAAACTCGACTCCCGCCTGTTCGCTACCTTCTCCGCTTCTCGAACCCTCCTAATTTTGCTACGACCTCTTTGACGGAGGCACTTCCCCCGCCCCCTAGTTATGTTCGTCAGTTAGGCTGTCCACAACCAGGGGCTAAAAGGCCAAAAGCAAGGTTGTCAACCCGCGGGTTGACCCACGGGTCGACCCAATTTGACTCTGACCCGGTGAGAAAAACGGGTCACACGCACCCGCCGGGCCGACCGCTATTAGGTATCGGGTTGGAGGTCAAATTGTGTCATTTTTTTCTTTAGTTTGCGAAATGCGCCTATTTTCCAATTTTTCTTTTCGCCTAACTCAATCTTTGGAATACTAAGTTGAACATTTGAATATTTATGTTACATAAGTGTGTGTGAATTTTCACTATATGTTGGATCTAAGTACGATATGTTATTTTAGTGTAATATTATATGTTATAACTCATATGTTAGATAAGATTTGATATAATTTATGAGGATAAGTGCAATATAATGACTCTTTCTATATTTCCGGGCCATACCGAGCTAAAACGGTTGACCCATCAACCCTTGACCCACTAGCTCGACCAAGTCCGAGTCAACCCGCGGGTTGACAACCTTGGCCAAAAGCCATCAAAATTGCTTTTCAACCCTAGCTAAAATGGTAGCTAAGGGGCTAAAAGTAGTTTTAAAGTGTTATTTTAGCTCTTTTTGTTATTTTAAGAGAGGCTAAAATGGTGGAGAATATTTTACTTTTTTTTGTTTTAATATTTAAATTGAATATACTTGTGTTGTTGTGAGTGCTTTTAACTAACGAAATTCCTTTTATTGTAACTTTCAATCGTTCGATGGCTATTTTAAAACAAAAAAAAACATATTTAAAAATTAGATGATTCTTCCATTTCAACTAAAAAAATGGTATCTCCGAAATTGTTCAAAATGCTGGTAATTTGGATGAACGAAGTTCTTTTTGGTGTAACTTTCTTCTATTTCAACTAAAAACAAAGTATTTCAGAATTTGTTCAAATTTTATCGGAATGTTCGTATTCAGTTATCATGAATGAATATATAAATTTTCAATTAGAAAACATAAGTTTAACAATTCATAAGTTAGGATTGCTAAATACGCAACAGAAATTTTTAGCCATCAAGGGAGCAGTTGTTTATGTTTTCGAGGGGGCTAAAACGCTATAATAGCCTTAAACCCCCTAATTTTGCACCCCCGGGTAGGGCTGGAAGTTTGGTACCGGTATTTGGGATATACCGAATACCGTACCGAATTTGTCTATATTTGGTATTACCGAATACACGTATTATTTTGTGGGATTGGGATTGGGATTGAATTTCAATTGTTATTTGGTATTAGGGGTTACGGGATTGGGATCGGTATATACCGAAATACCGATCAATACCGAAATATAAGCTAGTGTGTATTTAATCCTCTCAACTAGACTCTCTCATTCACTACTACGCGACCATCAACCACCAAATTCATCATTTAATTATACATAGATCATTACATCACTATTTCACACTAGTATTAGTCGTCTCTCAACCTCAAATTCGTCAAATTAAAGATTACCAATTACAAGAATTTGAGATGTTAGCTCTAGGAAACTCAAGACTATTTGCTTAGTCTCTTTGCCCTAAATTAAACAATAAAATATAATTTATATATTTAATTATTAAATATAAAGGTAATTAATTATGTATTCGTTAATACCGATTGGGATACCGAGATACCGATTGGGATACCGAAATTATTTAGGGATTGGGATTGGGATACCGAAATTATTTAGGGATTGGGATTGGGATTGATTTTAGGGTGTAATTCGGTATTCGGGATTTCGGTATTTGGTATTGGGATACCGATACCGTACCGATTTCCACCCCTACCCCCGGGTTATGGTTAGCCTTACTGGTCTGGATTCGTTACAAATAGGGCCGCAAACGAGCCGAGTAGAGTCAAGTTTTTGCTCAGCTTGAGCTCAACTCGTTTATAAATTTTTTAGTTCGAGCTCGAATTTTGATAATCCAGCTCGAGCTCGGCTTGAATAAAAATAATCTAGCTTGAGCTCGAATCGATAGAGCTCGATAAATGCTCATTAACAGAGCTTGTCAAGCTAAGTTCAAACTCGGCTCAAGATGAGCATAATTTGAAATCATTCTTGCCGAAAAAATGTGTAAACATAAGAATTTAAATGATAAAAAGAACACTAGAAATTAAAATTAACATCTAACTTCTATACAGATCCGTATTAACAAGATAATGTTCATATTCAGAAGAGTAATTAATCCTTATACAAGCTCTAAATAAGGAAGCTCGCGAACTTAGCTCAACAAGTCGACGAGTCAAGCTAGCTCACGAGCTTATCAAGTTGAGCATGGCCTAGCTCAAGGTTGGCTTGTTTACTAACGAGCTGGTTCACGAGCCGGCTTTTTAAATAACGATTCGAGTGACGAACGATTTTTTTTCCGATTCGAATGTCGAGTTGCTCGCAGGCAGCTGGGCTCATTTGCATCCCTACTTACAGACCGACCAAGGTTTTTTTAGGGTTTTGCCTTTGCCAAACGTTAAGAATTTATTATAATATAAAGATCCGACTTCTCACTTAATAGAGAGAGATATGGTATGGGCCTTAAGTCCAAACGGAGATCCATTGCAACCTGCCTGGATCAGATCCAGTGCTTAAACTCTTACTATTGGTTGAAAGGATTTTAGTTGGGTTAATTGCATTGTTGGTCACTGAGATTACAAAAAATGTTCATGTTTGGTCACTCAAAATATTTAATTCCATTCGTGGTCCCTAGCATTAGTTAAACATTTCAACTTTAGTCACTCTCCGTTACCTTCCGTTAGTCTCCGTTAACGACGTTAATTTTTTGCTGAAGTGGCTAACAGATATGCCTACTCAGCCAATTTAAACGAAAAAATAAAAAAAATACAATCTGCCACATCATAATAAACCCGCCACATCATAAACCCTCAATCAGCCAACCAAAATTAAACCAAGACTCGCCCGCTAGTCCCATCCCACGACCCGTCGCCACAAAAACTTACCCTATCCCATTTCCCCTCTTTCTCCCTCCTCTCCGGCCCGCCGCCGCTCCTCCACAGCCTAGCCCAGTTGAAATTTCGATCCTCCGAACAGTTCATTTCCCCCACCATTACGATGATGATGACCTGTAACTCCCAATCGAAATCCTAGCCCTCGTCGCCGACTTCATCATCTTCTTCCTCGTCTTCACAATCCTCACAATCGACTCCGTCAGTCACAACTATCTCCATGGATTCTACGGCCGACCCGTCAAGCTCGTCTCTGCCATCAAATCTTAGATCAATCCTTGGTGGTGATTCTCTTCCTCGGCTCTCATCGACCGCATCACTGGTCATCGCATCTCATCCCCCAAACTCATTTGACGACTACGGATCGTAACAGGGGAAACACAGTCGAAACCCATATCTGAAATTCAAACCCTCTTCTTCTGCAAATCCAATCTCCCCTGTCCCGCATCAAAAACCTTATCTCCTTTATTTTTCCTCATGGCTCCTTCCCCTCAAATCCCTCTCTTCCGATCCTCCTCCGTTGACTCTGCATGTCGGCCGCCATTCACCACCACCCTCACCCTCACTCCGTCTCTCCTTTGAAGATGATCCTCACCGGGATAAAGAGTATAGAGAATATGAGAAAATAGATCGCTCACTCTCGACCAGTGGGGTCAGGACAATTTGATGCGAAAAATGCGCATGCTTATTCTCTCAATCCTAACGTCTCTTCACCATGAATGCAGCCTCTAAATGCTAGAGTTCACATATGGGGTGTCACTACTAACTAATCCGGAGGTCTTAGACACAGGTTCAAATGACTGGCTAGGGTCTTGGACATGGGGAAAATGCCTTTTAGGTGGTGGAAGTATTCATAGCACAAGATTCCACAATTCCAACCCAACACAATCACAGCCAATCAAACTACATACTTTCTTCCTGCCATTCTGCATTACTCAAATTATTTAGAGCACAAGAGCGAAGGAGGTCACAATAATGTTAGTATTTCTAAGCCAGACTGCTAAGAAACACTACTTACCGGGCACTATTCAGATTTTTGGTGGTGGCTCTCTTTTGCTTGCATTCATTTTTTTTCTTTTTCTTTTTCTTTGTTTCTTTCATTTCTTGAGAGAACCACCACCTATTCACATTTTTTCAAACACATGCCCGCCTCTTTAAGAACTACCTCCAACCTTCACATTACATTTAGCAGAACAGCAGAAAACATGTAAAAACCACTCTGTGGAACCTTCTAATAGATGAAAAAGGGTGATTTTTCATTGTAGACCAAAAGAAAGGATAACACACGGCTCAAAGGGGCTGACTAGGGGGTATGACACACCAGGACAGTCAATTTGGTCGTGGGCTAATCCTATGCCTCCATCATCTTAGTTAATGACAACGTGAATGCTGCACATCATGGAAGAGGGAACTATCACACAAGAAAGAAACGAGCAGGCTCAAATCTCACATGGCTACCTATATGCTCTATCTCTCATTCTGATTCCCTGAACTAGATGCATAAACGACTGTCAAGAGAAAGTGATCAAATAAAGTCACAGTTGGTAAGCAAACAGTTGAAAAACTGAACCCCTACACAACTCTACTGCACGTCTCAGTCATCATTATAGGCTGTCCTAGTTATAATCAGGTTGTCATGCATTAATTCCAAAGCCATTCGATTCACCACTCAAATCCACAGTGCCCATATGATCAAGCAAACAACAGTACTTGGAGCCCTCAAATCTCGAGATTTGGATAGCGGACTAGGCTCCAAGCACACATACAGATCTAATGCAGTCAAATGAGAACCCCCCCCCCCCCCCAACACACACACTTAAGTTCGACATTGCCCTCAATGGAGAAGAGGGAAAGATAAGGGGAACGATGTTACCGGTGTGTACGGACTACATAAGACTGGAAGGTGTAACATCCCGGATCAAACGAAATAAAATATAATAAATTTAAAATGTAAAAATAGATTTCCTAG